GTCTGTCCAAGCACTGTCTGCTGCTTCCTGGTTTTGCCACATCCATTTGTCTGGTCCCCGAGGGGAGGGCAGAGGGTGAGGCTGCTGGGCCTCCTTTAGGAATAAGTGCCTGGGAGAAGAGCTAGCAACACTTGTCCCAGTTCCTCCTGGGGTGGAAAGCTCGCTTTGCTCTTACACTTGTCAGAAGAGCCATGACTTCTGGCCCTTCTGGCACAATACGCAGTCTTTACCTAATACTGATGGTCTTTCCCCTTAGAATATTGCTTCTTGTCTGCCGCGTTCACTCCTCTTTCTGGAGCAGGCTGACCCTGTGCATAGTCATTGAATGAATCAGCTGATGGAGCCTCCGGGTGCTCAGAGCCATACTGGGCACTTCTGTCCCATAGGACAGCTGCAGGGGAAGGGGCGTTTCCCACGTGAAAGGTGGCGAAGCTGAGGCACGGAGGTCAAGTATGTATGTATGCAAGGCTCCATGGCGCAGACTGCCGGCTGCACGGTGCTGGCTGTTTGCTACGCGTCTTTGTGTAACACTCCAGAGGCTCCTGTTTTTCTTAGTACCAAGGCCTGGTTGTGATGTGAGCATGTCATAAAGTTCCATTTCAGAAGCTTTGCGATGAAAGTTATTGCAACTTGTAATGCACTGGTCCATTGCCAAGGATACTTGGGTATACACAGAACAGTCTTTAAAAGATTCTTCCTTTTTTTTTTTCAATCCTCATGCAAGAAAATATTTTTTAAATTGATTTGTAGAAAGGAAGGGAGAGAGAGAAACATGGTCGGTTGCCTCCCCTACATGCCCCAACCAGGGATCAAACCCATGACCTTTGGGTGTAGGGACAACACTCAAACCAGCTGAGCCATACAGCCAAGGCAAAATATTGTTGCTTTGTAACACACATCTGTAATCCTACTTTTGAAATTCCATTTTTGGAAGTGCATAATATAACATGGGAATGATTCTGTGTTTATGGTTTAAAAGGGGAGATGTGATCTAGTCTAGCGGTCACCAACCTCTCAGACCTCACGGACCACCAGTGGTCCACGGACCACCGGTTGGCGACCACTGATCTAGATAGTGCCTACGCATTTTCCCTGCTATCACTGCACCACACCGCATAAGGAGGTTGCCCAGCCACCTCATCCAAATGCACGGGGACTGCTCAGCCACCTTCTAAGTCAACACGATGAGGGCCCCTTGTGTCTGCACACCGGCGCCCTCAGGATAGTGAGTGCCCAGGGAGCCACCCAGAGTCAGGATTGCTTGGCACCTGTGGCACAGTGCGGGGAGTTAGCCCGGGTTTTCGGGGGCCACCCTGGCATGGTGTGAGGGCTCACATGCCTTCGTGGGTGGGGGGCACCGGAAAACAGTGGTGTAAGATGCAATAACAATTCGGTTCCAGTCGCAGCGCTTCCTGCTTCTTGCCTGCCCCAGTCTGCCGCTACCATGATGTAATAATCATGTCCCCGTGTCCGTCATGCACATCCCTGAGTGCCAGTGTCACATTGCGCAGTGTCACCTCACAATAACCGGATGGTTGAGTGGACCATTAAATCGGTAAGAACAACCTAGCTGGCACGACTCAGTGGTTGAACGTTGGACCTATGAACCGGAGGTCATGGCTCGATTCCCAGTCAGGGCACTTGCCCGGATTGCAGACTCGATCCCCAGGGTGGGGTGTGCAGGAGGCAGCCAGTCGATTCTCTTTCATCATCGATGTTTCTCTCTCCCTCTCCCTTTCTCTCTGAAATAAAGAAAAACACATTTTTTAAAATGGTAAGAACACAGAAAACATCAGCCTCAAACAACCCGCCCTGCCGCCATCCAGTTAGTCACCTCTGTTCCTTCACTCACTGCCCACAGTCTTGTCCTGCCTGGGTTGCTCTAAGTCTCCTTACTGGTCTGGGGTCTGACTTGTTCAGTCTCCATCGGCCCTCGGAGCACAGGTGACAGGATCTCTGAATGTGGCCTCTGTCTAAAGCCCTTGATTGCCCCCCTTGACGTGTGGCTTAGGAGGTGAGCCCGTGTTACCTTCCGTCCTGGGTTCTCTGACCCACCGCACAGGGCAGTCCTTGTCTGGGGCATCTTCTGTGCTCTGTGTGCCCCTCGACCCGCTTTGTTTCTGGAGTAACCCCTTCATTTGGGGCCTGATCTTTTTGAGTCACTTCCTCCAGGCAGCCTGGCTTGGGCCTGTACCTGCATAAGGCTCAGTGATCCGCTCCCTGGGGCCGCTCTGGCCTCATTCTAGCCCTTGTACCAGCCCTTTCTCCTGCTTCCTCCTGCTGGGATCTCCAGGGTCCAGGCTTCGTTTCTGACTTCTTATTCTCTTTATATTCTCTTTTCTCTACCTGACTCCCCGGATTTCACACATGCTGTGATCTCTACCTGCACCCGGTTCTCCCCTGAGCCTTTCCGCGGCCTTGGGAACTGCCTGCCCTCAGCACCTGTGTCTTGTCGCCCTCCCCTGGGTCAGGTTCGTGGATACAGCTGATTCTGTCATGGGCTCTATTTAGAGTGGGTTCTGGTGTCAGGACGCCCTGTTTTAAATCAGGTTCTCGTGTCCTGTCTGTGGGCCTTGGGTAAGTTCCTTGCCCTGATCATCCTTAGCTTCCTTGTGTGTGAAATGGGGGCCTCTGGGAGCCGCCTCCTCGGTGATAAGGGATGACATGAGACCTGTGTGCAGAGTGCGGTGCCTGGCAAACGGTAGTTTCATGATTCCGATGGCCTCTCACCTGCGTGACCCAGGAGCCTTTGTAGGTGGTGAAGGCTACCTTTCCCACGACCATAGCCTCTAAGTCAACACGATGAGGGCCCCTTGTGTCTGCACACCAGCTCCCTCAGGAGAGTGAGTGCGCAGGGAGCCACCTAGAGTCAGGATGGCGCGGCACGGTGTGGGGAGTTAGCCTCTGCCCACCCACCCACACCTTCCTCGTTCCCACCTGGTCTGCTGGGGAGACCCTGCTTCCCCTACACCCGGTGCGACCCAGCCCCTGGGTAGGTTTCCCGAAGGCCATCTTCCCAGCTTCCTCTGTCCTCCGGCCACTGGCCCTTGCTATCCCCAAAAGAACAGGTTTGGGATAGAATGCCTGACCTTGGGGCCTTGGGCCTGGGACCTGGGACGGCGAGAGGATAGAGAGTGAGGAAACTCCTGGAAAGCAGTCTCGCTGGGGTTGCTGGGATGCAGGAGGCTGGTTTCGGAGGGCAAGGGGGGTGTGCAGGCCACGCAGTGGGGGCACCTCGGGCACAGCACAAGACACCTGTAACAACCACATGGCAATCTCAAATTAAAGCCATCTTCTCAATTCTGAGACACCACTGGTGTAGATGGCTTTTCCCCAAAGAAAGCTCCGTTGTGGGTGTACCTGCAGATGCAAGACACTTCTTGCTCAGGAACATAAATGTGTTGGACTTGGGGAATTGGGGCAGGTCTTGTGAGTCTTTTGGAGCTGTTGGGGCGCCTCCCCTGTCTGTGCAGACCAGGCTAAGGTGGGGGCTCACCAGGTGAGGTGCTGCTTTGGGAAGAACTTGTGCCATTCTCGGGGGGAGCACACGTGGCCCAGGGTGTGCCCCCACCTGAGGCCTGCCAGTAAGTCTACAGAGAGTGACACAGTGAAGAGCTGTCCCTCCAAACCCCACGGGGGCAGACAGGTAAAGAGGTGCTAGGTGCAGGCATGCAGGGTGCAGCCACCGGGTGCGAGAGAAAGGCCAGCTGCGCAGGGACAGACCGCGGCCTCCTTGTCCTGCGTCTCGCGGAGCGCGTGCCACAGCAAGAGCACTGGAGCTGGTGGCTGAGTTGGTTGCTGCATGAGGGCAGGCGCCCTCCTGGCCAGTGAGCGAGGTGGGGCTGCAGCCCATTGGCTACACAGCACCCCTAAGGGCTTGAGGAAAGGGGAGCTGTGCAGTGGGGTTGCTGGGGAAGGCGGCGGCGGGGTCAGCCCACAGCCTTTAAAGTGTGCACCCCACTGCCCACGCTCTGCACTGGGCCTGTGGTCCCCACACAGCGTGGAGTGGTGCTGTCCTGCCTTGTGGGTGAGGAAACCGGGCACAGAGGTCAGTGCCTCACCCATGGCCACAGGGAGGGCGTGGAGGCGCCTGGCTGCAAGGCCGGCCTTTCTCCACAGGCCATGCTTAGGAATGAGGACTTGACGGACCAGGCAAAGGTCGTTGTGATCGGTGTGTGCTTTAGCGTAGGGGAGGGCACTGCGCCGGGAGGTCAGTTGGGAGGTGGCCGCTGGAGCAGCGCCGGCAGCACTGTTAGGAACCTGTCTGAAATGCACGTTGCGAGCTCATCCCAGACCTGCTGACCAGAGCCTGGTGTGACACGGCCTCAGGTGAGCCTGTGCCGGCTCCAGCCCATAGTCACCGGGGACGGGTGACCAGAGCCGCCTCCTTGCTTTCACTCCAGGCTCCAGGGTTTTGCTTCCCTGCTGCTCCTTTAGCCACTGCCTCCCTGACACTGACTGGGCTGTGGTTAGCTGCCACCTCCCAGTGAAACCCAGGGCCCCTCCTTCTCCGGCAGCCTCTGCATCTCCTTTCTCTGCCCTTCCCGGAACCTCCTCCTGGGCTCCCCATTCACACTCTTGGTCCTTCACTCTCCCTTGGCCACAGGGTGAGTCAGGGGGTGGCTCTCGTCTCCTCCAGAGGACGCAGGCAGTGACGTCACGGGAAGAGCCAGGGGCCCTGGGCTCGGCTGCAGCCTGGGAACTCTGTCCTTCCCATTGCAAAAGGGTCGGTGAGGCCACGTGAGGCAGTGGATTCTCCTCTTTTCCCAGTAGCTATCACAGGGCTCTCAGCACCAGGACGAGGGCAGGGTGACAGGCTCTGGAGTCAGTGGTCCTGCATCCACAGGAGAGCTCGTTTCCTGAGCGGGATGTGGGCTGAAGGGCACGTTGCAGAGTGTTCAGCAAAGGCCCCGCCGGCAGAAAGGACCTGTGACCAGTGGCACCGTGGAGGTGACCACGCAGGTGGCAGTGTCGATCAGCTTGATGTGTTTGCTCTTCAGGACTTGGAGGACATCTGTGTGGCCCCGAATGCCGTGGCAGCCAGAGGATGAGTGAGCAGCAGGCATGAGTGGCTGAGAACGCTGGACGTCCCTGCAGGCCTTGGCTCAGTCACTTCCTTCTCTGCGGGTGCAGCCGGGAAGCACCATGAGCACGGTGAGTTCTCCCACCTCGGAACTTGTTCCGATGGCACAGCGAGGTGCTTCTGAGGAGCCCAGGTCAGGACCTTCGGGAGTGAGAGCGACATGCTGTCTAGTCGGCCAGGGTCTGCGTGGCCTTCTGAAGGGAGGCTGAGGGTTGGGAAGTCCGTGCCTGCAGGGCAGCTGTCCATCCTAGAATGTTAGGCTCTGGCTTAGGTAACCTTTCACAGCTCAGTTTCCACCTTCCCTTCAGTTCCTTCCCTGTGTCGTTCTGGGTCCAATGTGAGCGTGGTGGTAAGAATCCTTAGAGCTCTCTTACTCGGCGGCCAAAGTGGGTGCGTCGTCATAACTGTGCTGTGAGCTGTTCTCGGGTGCAGCAGCAGCTCTGCCTTGGCATCACCAGGAGCCCCTTGACTCCAGGGAAGGCTGCCCGAAGGTCGTCCTCCCCACCTTCACTCCCTACCAACAGGGTTGATCCAATGATCTAACTCAAGACAGCTGTTCAGTGAGATACTGAACTCCCATCAGGTGGACCAGATGTGAAACAGCCTTGCTTTCCTTGCAGGGTCAGAGGTGCTGGGGGTGGGGGTGGGGGTGGGGCAGGGTGAGGTTGCTCCAGTGGCTCCTGGGTGAACGATAATAGAAAGGTTTCCGTTTCCATTCACTGCCCCCACCCCCACCCCCATCCTCCTGACCACGCAGGGAAGCACAGTCCTGAGCTGGTACCTCCCCTCTGAGCCCACTCTCTGCTCGGGGGTCTGGACAGGCAGCAGTGTAGTGTGTAGGAGCGTGTGTGCAGTTAAGTATCGTCCGGATGGGAGAGAGCTAGGCGGTCATGTTTACCTGAGAACTGTGGACCCTTTGGGTTCTGCCCGCAGGAAGGAGGGAGCTGTGATGAGGGGCAGGAGGGCAGAGAAGGGCGAGGGTGCAAAGTCCTAGCATACGTTCTACAGTTTCTCTTCTGGGCCCTGACCGAACAGCACGTCCTCCCTGCCCCGGGGGAGTGTACTTGCAGGAGGGTCCCGGACAGTCAAGCTGGGCACAGGAGGCATGTCCCTGCGATGGAGGGGACATTTGAGTAGGTCTCTGAAAGCTGTAAGAATCGGTTGGGTGAAGGCAGGGAGGGACGGGTAGTCCAGGCTGGGGACAAGGCCAGGTTAAAGGCATGGAGGGGCTGAGGGGGCAGCCAGGAAAGGGGATTGCTGTGGAGGTCTGTGGGGGAGGAGGGTGGTATTGGGGGCACATTGCTACAGTGCCCATGATGGGGTGGTCAGGTCCAGCACCTGGACTTAGGCCAGGGCTGTGGCTGCCTCTTCACTCACTTAGTGGTGATCAGAAACCACATGGGCTGCAGTGGGCGTGAGGGTCTGTGCAGCGTGTCTACTCAGAAAGATCTGGTCCTTTTCCGAGACAGGCAGATGCAAGGCCACCTGCAGGAGAATGGGGTAAAGGTGCAGGAGTCCTCGGTCACCTGGAGGCTGCTGGGGAAGCCATGAGTGGGCAGCAGCCTCACCAGCTGGGTGGCCCTCGGACAGGCCACTCCTCACTGGAGACCTGAGCTGCTGCCGCTTCCTCTGGCCCCGGGTGGTCCCTGCCCCTCCATCCATAGGAAGTCGCTAAACCCAGCTCCTCAAGTGGCCATGTGACAGAGGAGTTGTCTAGACGCAGAATCGGGCTTCTCTCTTGCCTACTAAGGCTGGGCTGGGGTGCTCTGGGGCCCTGTGCGGGTCTCCCCAGCAGTGAACAGTCCTTCCCCAGGCCCGAGACAATGCCAGGGCAGCATGGAGCAGCTGGGGTGGTAATGGCCTTTCGTCATGTCACCAAGTCTTGTGGCAGCTCTGCCAGGCTGCTGCTGGCGAAGGAGGTCAGGCTCAGTAGGGAAGGAGCTGCCAAATCAGTCACTGGGAAGCATAACAGGTGCAGCTGTGAGGTGTGAACAGGGCGGACCATATGGGGATGGCAAGGCGACAGGCTTGTGCGGGAGGCTCTGTCGCATTTGAGGAAGGCTGCAGGGGGTGCTGGTCCACTTGCCTTTCAGGCTGGCCAGGTGGAAGTGCCGGGGGCGTGGAAGGAAGGCCAGGCAGAGTCTGGAGTCGTGGCTCTCAGGCAACCCTGGGGACAGGCTTAGAAAACTCCCTTTCTTTGAGTTGAGGGTGGAGGGGAAAACCACTTCTGATGGTTAGAGGCCAGATTTCTGAAAGGAAGACCTGCTTTCCACAGTGGATAGAACCTGGGGAAACGGAAGGTCTTGGGGCTAAAAACAAAAAGGGCTCAATGAGGCCAATAGAAATGCAAACAAGGTGGGTCTGTCACTTGGTTAAAGAAGGGCTTCCTGGCCCTGGGTGGTGACCCAGTCTTGTGAGGTGTGAAGTGTGAGCATCCTCCTGTAGACCAAGCATGTCAAACTCCAGGCCCACAGGCTGCATGCGGCCCACAGCAAATATTTTTGCAGCCCAGCCAATATAATGGTATGTAAGAAACGTTTTAATAATTTTATAACTGAATTTTTACAATACCCACTTATACGTAATCATACATATGTGTGTGTGTGTGTGTGTGTGTGTGTGTATATATATATCCTACCTAATTATAGAGAAACATGGTAATTAACCGTAACTTCGCTACCCTTCCCATTGGCTAATCAGCGAGATATGCAAATTAACTGCCAACCAGGCGGTGGTGGTGGTGGTGGTGGTGGTGGTGGTGGTGGGAGCCTCTCCTGCCTCCTCAGCAGCACTAAGGATGTCCGACTGCAGTTTAGGCCTGCTCCCCACTGGCAAGCGGACATCCCCCGAGGGCTGCCGGGCTGCCAGAGGGATGTCTGATTGCCATCTTAGGCCCAGTCCCCCTGGGAGCGGGCCTAAGCCAGCAGGTGGTCATCCATTGAGGGGTCCCAGACTGCGAGAGGGCAGAGGCCAGGCTGAGGGACCCCCTGTCCCCACGAGTGCACAAATTTTTGTGCACCGGGCCTCTAGTGTGTGTGTGTGTGTGTGTGTGTGTAAAATAGAGAAATATGCTAATTAGCCCAGACGCACAGCAGAGATCTGAGCAGTTGCAGGCTCCCAGCACCGCCAGCCCCCTAGCAGCCAGCACACCTTCAGGCCTGGAATAATGACACATTCACAATGAGCCCAGAGTCACTGAACAGGGGGCTGTGGATCAGAGAGCTTCAGATCAGGGGCCTGTGGATCAGGGGGGCTGTGGTCCGCTGTGGTCCAGGGGAGCTGCAGATTGGGGCTGCGGCACTGGGGACCCTAGCTCCGAGCCCAGAGCCTGGCCTCATGGCTGTAGCTGTGGCTGTGCTGCCCAGCGAGGAGCCCCACAATCTGCCCCCACAGACTCAGGAGAGCCAACTGGTCCGTGGGGATGGACAGGAAGAGGCCTCACCTGGCGCCCTTTGCCCCATGGATGGGAGTTGGGGGTCAGACCGTGACCAGCGATCAGTGTTTGAAGAGGGAGCCTTCAGCCCAGTGGACTTTCTCTCCCAACGAAGGTCAGGCTCCTCCCTGCACTCAGGCCCTGCCAGAGGGCCATGCTGCCCACACCCACTGCTGTCTGCATTCCCACGTGGGACCGTGAACCATGTCTGAGTCACTCTGAGGTGGAGCCCACGTCACCTCTTTAAAGTTTTCATTTTTGCTGATCGGATCTTTGCCTTCTGAGGCTCAGAAGCCAGGACGGTGGGCGCAGTGGAGCTCCTCAGCTCCAAGGGCTTCATTCAGAGAAGGTGGCTCTCATGCACCGCTCACCTTGGCCTGCAGGGAGCAGCGCAGTCACCGTGACAGGCACAGCCCCAAAGCTGCTCCTGAACCTCACTCTTCCTCCCTTGGCTCCCAAAGCCCAATGCAGCCTGTGGCCAACCCCGCAGAGGGTTGGCTGGTTCCCCCAACATCCTCCTCAGGGCCTCCCCAGTACCAGACAGGAGCAGGCAGGGGGGTGGGAGGGTGAGGTTGGCCTGGGACAGACTTAGCCCCTGCAAGCTGTGTCACAGTGGATCCTGAGTAGCGAGAACTTACCAATAAGGATGTTTCAGCAGACATTTTAAACAATGTCCTTTTTTTAAAAAATATATATATTTTATTGATTTTTTACAGAGAGGAAGGGAGAGGGATAGAGAGTTAGAAACATCAATGAGAGAGAAACATCGATCAGCTGCCTTCTGCACATCTCCTACTGGGGATGTGCCGCAACCCAGGTACATGCCCTTGACTGGAATCGAACCTGGGACCTTTCAGTTCGCAGGCCGACGCTCTATCCACTGAGCCAAACCGGTTTTGGCGCAATGTCCATTTTTAAAACTGAAATGAAAAGCATAGATTGTTGCTCTAGAGCAGCGGTTCTCAACCTGTGGGTCGCGACCCCTTTGGGGGTCGAACGACCCTTTCACAGGGGTCACCTAACACCATCGGAAAACACATATATAATTACATATTGTTTTTGTGATTAATCACTATGCTTTAATTATGTTCAATTTGTAACAATGAAAATACATCCTGCATATCAGATATTTACATTACGATTCATAACAGCAGCAAAGTTAGTTATGAAGTAGCAACGAAAATAATTTTATGGTTGGGGGTCACCACAACATGAACTGTATGAAAGGGTCGTGGCATTGGGAAGGTTGAGAACCACTGAGAGAGAGAGAGAGAGAGAGAGAGAGAGAGAGAGAGAGAGAGAGAGAGAGAGAAATGCTTCAGCAGGACCCCGAGGTCACCTTGTAGGCTAGAACCAAAAGTTAGATGATAGCAAGTGTTGGCGAGGATGTGGACAAATCCGAGCCCTCACACACTGCTGTCGGAATGGAAATGGTGCGGCCGCTCCTCAAATGACTAATATCAGTCACATAGGACCCTGCAAGCCACCACTCCGAGGTATACACCCAAGTGAGGCAGCCGGTCACAAAACGCCCATTGTGTATGGTCCCGTTCCCATGAAATGTCTGAAACAGCAGTGTGCAGATGGCTGGGTGGGGCAGGCAGCTAGATGGGGAAGATGGCACGGGGTTTCTTCTAGAAGCAATACAACGTTCTAAAAGTGACTGCTATGCCCGGGTTGCAGGCTCGATCCCCAGTGGGGGGCATGCAGGAGGCTGCCGATCCATGATTCTCTATCATTGATGTTTCTCTCTCCCTCTTCTCCCTTTCACTCTGAAATATATGTGTATACACACACACACACACACACACACACACACACATACATATACACACTAATAAAAGGGTAATATGCTTATTAGACTGGATAGACCTGACGTCATTCCAGGCATCCTTCCTGACAAAGCAAGGGCCCAACCTAGGGGAAGCTGCCAGGGGTCCTGGGTGCAAGGCCTACTCTTGCACAAATTTTCGTGCAACGGGTCTCTAGTTATTAATAACGAATTACAATGTTCGCTAATGACTGATTACTATAATAGTGTTGCATTCATTTCCCTTACGTGCTTTACACGCAGGCACACCATTTCTCTCCACTAATACTAGCAGCGAATATTTTAGCAGCGATTGCCATGTCATTAGTCTTGGACGGACTTGTTTGGTGTGTGCCGCAGGAAATGCTTCACTTTCGGAGAAAAAGAAAAATAGGTTTATTTGCGTGACGCTTATTAATTTGTGCAGTTATTCCGTGTCTGGTAATATAATGTTCAAGAAAAAACATTAATTTTTATTAAAATAGTCTATTTATGTTAACAATGACTCATTTATTTCAGCCCTTTGAATTCAGCATGTCTATCAAAATAAACCTACGTTTCTATGAAAATTAAAGCTTTTTTTTGTGGCCCACATAAACTCAAACCTTGTTTATTTGGCCCATGTTAGCCTTTGAATTTAACGTGCTTGCTGTATACTAAGCAGTGATGGATTTGATTCCTGGTCAGGGCACATTACCCAGGTTGTAGGTTCAGTCCCCGGCAGGGGCCTGTTTGGGAGGCAACCAATTGATGTTTCTCTCCCTCTCCCTCTCTGAAATTAATGAAGAAGAAAACAAAAAAAGGGCTCCCGGCCCAATCCCACCTGGACCAGAGGATTCGGTTGAGTTGTGTGTCATGTGCTTTTTATTTTATGTTTTTAATTTTATTTTTTAAATGTATTTTTATTGATTTCAGAGAGAAAGGGAGGGGGAGAGGGAGAGAGATATAGAAACACCAGTGATGAGAGAGGATGATGGATCGGCTGTCTCCTGCACGTTCCCTACTGGGGATCGAACCCGGGACCCTTCAGTCCACAGGCTGGCGCTCTTTCCACTGAGCCAAACCAGCCAGGGCTGTCATGTGATTTTGACAGATGATGGTTTGATGGAGTGAGCTCTACTTAAAGAATTTGTATTCATTCTCTGTTCTGAGTGATTTCTATCTAAACGTTCAGTGTCGAGAATCTCGTGTTTTGAAAGTACCCCAACCTCAGGTCGGCTCCCTCCCTGCCTTCTACTCTTCCTTCCTTTTTGTTGACTTTTTTGATTTGTCTTGTTTGTCTTGCTGAAATCCCGTCAGTCAGGAGCTCATGTGACTGTCTCTCCCTGTCCCTCCCCAGAGGAAGCGTCGAGGAGGGGCAGCAAATTCCAGACAAGCCCAGAAGCGAGCTCGGGAAGCAGCCCCCACCCCGGTGATGGCCTTGGAAACAGAACCCATAGAGCTCGTAGAAAGCGGTAAGCTCCCGGGACACTACCCACGGGGCGTTGGCATGGTGCAGCACGCGTGGGTGTGGGTGGCCAGCCCCGCCGCAGCCAGTCGGTGCCAGCACTGCCACCTACCAGCCATGGGGCCTCCCTTTCCTCCTCTGAAATGGGAATGGCACACCTGCTCCACAAGGTTGTCATGTGGCTGAAATGAGTCAATCAGGTGACCAAGCTGTACAGGTGGGCTTAGCGCAGTGTCGCTCTAGGACCACACAGTCTCAGACTCACCTGCCTTACAACTTGCTGCTGAAGGGAGTGGAGTTGCCCTTGGGTGCCCTAGGACCTCCACGGGTCTCCAACGGCCACTTAGCTTGGCTGGGCTGCCAGTCAACCTTCAGGGAGTGGCCCACCTTCACTATTTATTTATTTATTGATTTATTGATTTGATTTTTTTTTTTTTTTTTACAGAGAGGAAGGGAGAGGGATAGAGAGAAACATTGATCAGCTGCCTCCTGCACACCCCCAGTCCTTTTACCGGAATCGAACCTGGGATCCTTCAGTCCACAGGCCCAGGCCGATGCTCAATCCACTGAGCCAAACCGGTTAGGGCCCACCTTCACTATTTAAAAACCTGTCTCCAGTGTGCGTGGCCTTGTGAAGAACTCGGCTTTCCTCCTCCTTTTCATTAAGACAAAATTGTCCACGAAGGCAGGCGTGTGGCCAGGCTGCCTGCCCAGGGAAGTGCAGGTGGCAAACCATGACCCTGCACTCTGCAACACTAAGGCTGTTGTTGTAACTGTGACTAGAGCCCGCCATGGCGGCCGCCTCTGCCTCGGCCCTCACAGCCCCAGCTTCATCCGGAAGGACGTCTAGTCTAATGAGCATATTACGCTTTTATTATCATAGATGCCTGAGAACTGACTCTAAAGAGAAGCAGTTGGTCTGAGATACATTTTGTGGGCCCTCCAGAGCAGTAGGTCACTCAGAACCGTGAATCTCAAAGAGCCTGGAGCCTGAGGCCCTGGTCCACCCCGCCCACTGCCCCAAATCTGGCTACCTGGAATCTGCACCTGCCCTCCGTTAGGGGAGGCTGGTGCAGGGGCTGCTCCTTGGGTCTCCCAGGCGGCTGGGAGCAGGTGGTCGCGCCCCTGTGCAGGGCTGAGCACTAGCTGCCATGGGAGGGTCGCCTTATTTGTAAGAGTCCAAAATGGGGTCCACCGGCAAGAGAATGAATGGCTCTGTGAATTATGGTGTGTTAGTACGTGGATGATTTCAAAAAGAACAAGGTCATTTTGTACAAATTACATTGGACATCTCTGATACAGTGTGATTTTTATTCCTCTGAAACTTTTAACACAAGAAAATAAAACATTTTGAACATGCTAAATATGTTACAAGTCACTGCCCCCAAATTTAAACAAATGCTGTTTTTAAAAATTCTACCCTCATACTTTGTAAAGTTAATAACAGAGGAAAACGGGTATGTCTTTCAGCGTATAGGACTGGATTGTGCTCTGCCCTTCATGCGGACATACATGCCAGGAGATGCTGGACACCCGCTCTTTCCCATGTTGTCCCATGTTCATGTGGACACTTCAGTGGGCCCCAGGGCTCAAAGGCAAGCTGCAGGCCAGACCTGACCCATTTGGCTGTTGGGGTTCCAGGGCCCATTAAAACATTACTGATGGTCCTGGCCGGTTTGCTCAGTGGTTAGAGTGTCAGCTCCAGCACTGAAGGGGAGCAGCTTGATTTCCTGGTTGAGGGCACATACCTGGGTTGCAGATTCCATTCCTAGCCCTGGTTGGGGCGAGTGCAGGGTGCAACTGACTGATGTGTCTCTCCCACATTAATGTTCCTCTCTCTCACTCTCTCCCTCCCTCCCCCTCTCTCACTCACTCCCTCCCTCTCTCTCTCTCTCTAGCCCCCCTCCCTCTCTCTCTCTCCCCCCATTCCCTTCCATTCTCTAAAAAGCAATTGAAAAATTATCTTCAGGTGAGGATTAAAAATAATAGCCACTGAAGTGCTGAGCTAAGTATGACTTGAGGTCTGGGCAGGTGGCAGCCACCTGCTTCCCTGCTGTGGAGAGCAGAGGTTTCAGACTCATGCATCCCAAAGAGAAAGGCCCTGAGCCGCCCATGCCTGGTCCCTACCTGTCAGTCACTGCCTCTCCCCTGTGAGGGAGCAGGTGAGGGCACAGAGGTCAGGCTGGGCGGCGGTGTGAGGCCACGGGACGAGGTGCGTGAGCACAGACATCCCATCCCCGGTGGGGTGCTGGTAGAAGCCCTCTGCTGTCACTCAGCCAAGTGCTAGAAGGGCGTTCCTTGGCTGTCAGCCCTGCAGAGGGCTGGTCCTAACGCTCTGCCTGCTGTACTTCGGGGGTTGCTAAAAGCCCGAGCTCTGTTGTCATTAACGAAGCGAGAGTGTATGCTTTTTCCTTTCCTCCTAATGTTTGTTAAAATGCTTTGTTTTGAAGCTGGAGATGAAATAGTGGACCTCACCTGTGAGTCTTTGGAGCCCGTGGTCGTCGACCTGACGCACAACGACTCTGTAGTGGTAAGCCTTGCGCTGTTGTCGGGCCCTGGCAGCACGAGGTCTACAGGCCTTGGCCACCGGTTAGGTTTATGCGGAAGAAACTCAGTGATGTCCCAACATAGATGTTTCAGGGAAGTTGCTTGTGGCTTTGTTGCGTGTGGAGGGAAAACCTGTGTGCCCCTGACCTTCCCTCAGTGGCACAAAAGCCCTTGGGGGCAAGCTCCGAGAGGCCCTCTCTCCTTAGTCCCTGACTCTACACTGTACCAGCTATGTGACCCCAAGTGAGTGACTGAGCCTCGTTCACTTTGTTCGTAGAGTGGGACCTGTCGTCTGGAGCAGTAGGGTGTTGTGAGGACTAAGAGATGCTGGCCTTGAGTGCCTGGCACCTGGGGTGGTGCCCACAAATACCAGTGTATACCTCCCGGCTGGTGAGCAGGAATCCTTTCTTGGTTCTCAGAGAAGCTGGCTTGGAGGATTTGGGTACCTGGAATTGCCACCTGGTGCCTTGGTTGTGTGTGACTCCAGGGACGGGTTAGCCTGGGAGGCTGCTGGTGTCCCCTTCCTGTGGCATCAGGTCTGGACTCTGTGGCCCTTGAGGGAAGAGACCTGGGATGGTGAGACGCATGGGGGTCTGGTCAGCGTCCTGGGCGGCTTGTCTCTCCAGGACACCTCTTTAGCACCTTTGGTTACAGGGAGCCTACCATCTACACCAGTGATGGTGAACCTATGACACGCATGTCAGAGGTGACACGTGAACTCATTTTTTTGGTTGATTTTTCTTTGTTAAATGGCATTTAAATGTATAAAATAAATATCAAAAATATACATCTTTGTTTTACTATGGTTGCAAATATCAAAAAATTACTACGTTACACGGCACCAGAGTTAAGTTAGGGTTTTTCAAAATGCTGGCACGCCGCCCTAGCTGGTTTGGCTCAGTGGATAGAGCGTCGGCCTGCAGACTGAAGGGTCCCGGGTTCGATTCCAGTCAAGGGCACATACCCGGATTGCGGGCTCTATCCTCAGTAGGGGGCGTGTGGGAGGGAGCCGATCAGTGATTCCCTCTCATCATTGATGTTTCTTTCTCCCTCTCTCTCTGAAATCAGTACAAACATATTTTTAAAAAAGAAAAGAAAATGGTGTGGAGTTTTTCTGTTTGTTTTTAATCCTCATCCAATGTTATGCTTACTGATTTGAGGGGGGAGAGGGAGGGAGAGAGAACATCAATTGATTGCCTTCCCTACATTTCCTGACTGGGAATCCAACCAGCAACCTTTCCGTATACAAAACGATGCTACAATCAACTGAGCCACACTGGCCTCGGCAAAAAATGGTGTTTTAAAGTTCTGTTTTATTTTTTATCTAAGTGAAAATGGTGACATTCTTTTCTCATTCCAAATCTGAAAGAATCCTTTCAAAGTCTCACCATTAATAAGACCTCTTGTTGGGTATTTGTTTGTTTGTTTATACCCATTATCAGATCGGAGGTATTCATCGGTTTCCTGTAGGCTGCAGGTTTCATCTGGGGATTCAGTGCTGCATTTTAATTTTAACAACTCCGTCTAATGATATTTTTTCTCCCTTTCATACATTGAAGTGGAGAATTAACATTGGTTTCTAGTCTTAAACCGGTTCAACATTGTGGTCATGAAATTATCATTTTGAATATTGATAGATTCAGTTTGCTAATGTTTTATACTGTTATTTTTGCAACTATTTTTAAGATTGGCTTGTAATTTTTCTTTTATACACATTGCTTATAGAGTTCCGGTATCACAATATTGGTAACTCTATAAAGTGAGTTAGCCCCCCCCCTTTTTTGTCTGTTCTCCAGAAGACTTTGCCCAGTGGAATTATTTCTTTGCTGAATGTTTGATAGAACTCTACAGTGATAATACCTAACCCTAAGTTATGAGTTTGGGTAATTATTTTTTAGGAATTTGTCAATTTTACCTAAAATTTTCACTTTTATTTGCATTCGTAATGTCTTATTTCTGTGGGATCTGTAGAGATGTCTCTTTTTCATTTCTGATACTAGCTGTGTTTTCTGTCTTTTTAGATTAGTATCACCAGAGCTTAATTAGATCTTTCAGAGAACCAACTTTTAGCTTTATGGACCCTTTCTCTTGTAAGTTTGTTTTTATTCATTGATTTTTTTTTTTTAGTTTATTTTGCTGTTTTTCTAAGCTAATAATTTTGATTGTTTCTTTTCCGGTAAATGCATTTAAGATAATATTTTCTTTAGCTGTATCCTACAGCTTTTGTTATTGGTATCTTACATTCAGTTTAGTGTATTTTTCAAATTTGTATTTTTTAACTTCCAAATTAAATACAAAAAATTTGTATTTTTTAACTTCCCTCTCTTTTGTTTTTATTACTCATTCTTTACATGACTGGTCCGCAGAGACGTCCTGCCTGTCGGCCCTTGGCCATTGACTGAGACTCTGCCGCCGCCCGCGTGGGCACTGCACTGACTGGCCACAGCTCCTGCGGGTCCTGGCTTTGCTGGGAGGCTTTCCCAAGGACGCTGCAGGGTCTCGGGAGATTGCTGGGCTGTTTTTGTTGTTGTTGTTTTCTCATCTAGATTATCATATTCCCTTTACTTTGGACCTAATACCTTTTTCTTGATAGCTCTTTATTTTAAGATGTGTCCTATCTTGTTTGTTGTTTTCAGTGGGAAGATGGGTGAACACTAGCCTTTGCTTATTGACACCCCTCCCGTGTGCTTCCCTCCTCTGCTTTCCTCCTGGCTCCCCCAGCATGCACTGGGCCAGGTCTGCTCTGGCCACCGTGGTCCAGGCTAGAAAGAGACTGGTTCATTGAAAGCCCGCTTGGTTTCCCGGAATCTTCATGTGGTCTTTTCCTGGGCGCAGATGAGTCGCGCTGTCTGTACCCCACCTGGCTTTTCGTTTATGAGACTATTGAGAGGATCTGCTTCCCCATGGCTCCTGCGGGCTGGGACAGAGCCCTGTCCATCTGTCTAGGAGTAGAGGGCTGCGAGGGACACAGTGAAAGCGAGTGAACCTGAGTCCTGGTGAAGAAAGAAGCAGCCAGGCATCAGGGACACCGTCGCACACAGGGACACGTTGCCTGGCTGCTCTGCAGTTCTCCTGGCGCTGCCACAGGAACAGCATCTGTCATCGCACCGTGTCTGTCACTGCGGGGGGCGGGAGGGTGCAATTGCTGGGTGGAAAGAGCACCTTTGGTGGCCTTGGGTGATGGTTGGGTATGGCCGTGTTCTCCAGTGGGACCAGGTCGTCTAAAGCAGGTAACTCTGAGCTCTGGGTTGGGGAGCAGCATCCTTAGTATTTCCGGGGTCAGCTGGTTCAGAGGACCCCAGTGGTCCTGCCATGCTGCCCTGCCCTGTTGTTCACCCAGGATATTGCTTCAGCCCTAGGAGGCCCCTGGGATGCTAGGCATTTGTCTCCTAAGAGAAGGTCTTGTCTTCCACTCACCAGGAGCCTGTGACGGTGTCGGCCCTCACAGGTGTTCTGAGGCTCACCTATGCTTCAGAAGCTTGGGATGCCTGGGTCAGTGTGCCCGGGGGGAAAGCGCCAGGTGTCTCCATCCTGAACGCTCTGGCCTGTGGCTAGTCTGTGGCACGGAGAGAAGCCAGGCTGCTGGTCTGGACCAGCTCCCTTACTTCTGCCTGCTGTTGAGGCCGGGAGACTGAATGGCTGTTGTTTAAGTTTGGTATTTGTCTTTTTTGTTGCTTTTTAAATTATGACAGCTACTTTGTGTGGGGTTTTTTTTGTGTGTTTTGTGTGGGTTTTTTTTATTAATTTTAGAGAGGAAGGGAGAGAGAGAAACATCGATGAGAGAGAATCATTCATCTGCTGCCTCCTGTACAGCCCCTACTGGGGATCAAACCTGGTACCCTTCAGTTCGCAAGCCAATGCCCTAACCACTGAGCCAAACCAGTGAGGGCTGTTTGGTTTTTTATTGATTGATTTTAGAGAGAGAAACGTCTGTTTGTTCCAGTTATTTATCAATTCATTGACTGATTCTTGTACCCTGACTGGGGATCGAACCCTCAACCTTGACACTCTAACCAACTGAGCTACCTGGCCAGGGCAAGTGGTGTTTGTTCCGTAAAGGCCTCTCGGCCATAGGACAGGCTCCAGAGCTTTGCTGTCCCTGTCCCGTAGCTTTGCTCCTCCAGCTCACATGTCTGAAGCCCGTGCCCTTCCCCGGCCTGTCCCCTGCCCTGCAAGCATGTGCTCCCGGAGGAGGGCACCCAGAGTGGGCAGTCCCGCCTCCAGGGTTCCGGAAGGATGTGGTGCAGCCGCTGGGTGGAAGAAGGTAGGAGGTAGCAGGGGCGCAGGGAGGGCGTGGCGCCGCGAGGCCAGGCTGGGGTACCATCCTTTTCTGCCCCCTCTCTGAGCTGTTTTCCTGTTGAAAACGGGGACAGTCTGTCACCCGGAGAGGGAGGCTCTCTGGTCGTTAAGTGTGGAGGCCCTGCTGTGTGCCAGGTCTGTGGGGACCAATTCCCCGCACACTGCCGGGAGCCGGGGCATCCTGTCCCTCCCCGTGCACTCACCCCGATGGTGGTCCTCCTGTGGCCTCTTCTAGACTCATGGGGACAGTACCTCTGCCAGCCACCCTGTGTCCCAGGAAATGTGGCCCCGTAGTGAGGGCTATCTCCCAGTTTGGTCGTCACTCTGAAGCCTCCTGGGGGAGGGTTTCCAAAGCCCCACATGTGGGCTTCATGCTGCTGCTTCCTGGGATGGATGGCTGTGCCGGTCAGGGGTCAGGCTAGAACCCCGAGTCCACTCCTGTTGTCTCAAAGCAGAGAAGGGTTTATTTGTGGGAGCAGGCGCTTCACGTGAAACGGCTGGAGGAGCAGGTCTCCAGAAATAACTCCAGCATCTCAGCCTGGAACCCTGCGTGGGAGCTGCCAGCCAGGTCCGTGAGGAGAGGCCGCAGGGCTGTCCCGAAGGAAGTCGCCCAGCCCATGGCGCTGGGGGAGTGGGTCTGCTGCTGTCCCGCAGACTCGTGGCTGGCCCTGAGGGTTGTGAGCTGGCTGGAAACCGTCGGTGCAGAACGGTCTGGATGTCAGGCTGAGCCTTCAGGCAGGGGCTCGTCCAGGTCTCGGTCACGTTCCCTGGGTCCAGTGGGTCTTTGGTGTGTGCACGTGCATCAGTCCCCTCGCCTGCTTGCTTTTGTCTGGGAGTTCCTTCTTTTCACAGTGTGTTAGGCACCGCACACCCTTATCCGTAATGTCCCCGTCCTTGGCAGTGGCCACGTGGAGTCAGAGTTGTCGTTGGCGAGCGTGTGGAGCTAGTCCTGGGCTCCATGTCCCTGGTGCCCAGCGGCCGTAGCCTTGTCTCCCTTAGTCCTCACAACACCGCTCAGGGTAAAGTCACTTCCTGGGTCACGTGGCCAGCAGCTCCCCCAGATTTCCTGCGGCAGCTGCAGGGGGGCAGACCCCAGGGCAGGGTGCTGGTCCCCTGGGGATTTTGCATTTCAAATAAATGCTTCGAAGTGATCATTTGTGCATTCAGACAACACAATGTTTTATGTCAAACTGATTGTGTCTTTCTCTTTTCTCTCCTTTTTAAAAGATCGTTGATGGTGAGTGGTTTCCTTTTTTCGTTGGGTTGGATGGACAGCTGACACGGCCAGTGGGAGGGCACCTGCAAGGATGCTGCGTTCGGATTGGCTGCTCGCCTGGGCCAGGCCCACAGCTCGGCACTTGCCATCATAGCAGGGATGGGCTTCTCCTGGCAAGACAGGGGGTGGCCTCCTCGGGCTGGGCAGGACCTCCTGGGTGTGGCAGCAGAGTCTCTGGGGTCTGAGACTGGCCTTTCCCTGGCCAGAAGGCAGGTGGTGGGTGGTGGGCGGTGGGCGGTGGGCGGGAGGCCCCTATCCTGAGTGCGGGGCCCCTGTCTTAGAAAGGAGGCGGCCCAGGAGGAACACTAGGAGGCAGCGCCAGGACCACGCTGACAGCTGTGTGGTGAGCAGCGATGACGAGGAGCTGAGCAGGGACAGGGACGTGTATGTGACCACGCACACTCCCAGAAACTCCAGGGAAGAGACATCGCCGGGGCTCAGGTACCTGCATGCCCACCCGCTCACTGCTGCTGCCATCTTGGGGCCAGGCTCTCACACCAGGAAGCCTCTGGGACCTGGAGTGGGATCCTCACCCCCTCCGTTTCCCAGTGTGCTGTCGGGGGAGGATTGTTGGAAACACTGGGCCTTCAGCCAGTGCTCTGAGCCGGTGGCCCAGCAGAGCTGTTGAACACCTGCCTGGCGGCTGCCTGGAGATAACACTATTGAGACCAGGGCCCAGCTGTTCCACCATGACCAGGGCTTGCCGGGCACCAGCAGGCCGGGGTGCTAGGTGCAGGCCCTACCCCAGGCAGGGGGTGAAGGGGCAGAGGGGGTGTGGGGTGGACACGGTGACTCAGGTTGTCTGCACCTTCTCCTCTCCCCTTTTCTTGTGGCCCCATTAACCCCTTGGGGTGGCCAGTCCTCCTGTGAGTCCCGGGCCCTCACTAAGGCAGGGTCAGAGGAGGCTCTTGGAGGGAAAGTCTGCACACAGGATGTCCCCTGGCGCGAAGAATCCGATGTTGGCGTTTGCTTGGCACTGACATGAGGCACTGTGTTCTAGGCCCTCTGGCACGGTCAGTTGTCCGATCTGCATGGATGGATACTCAGAGGTAAGCACACCAGCTGTGACCTCCTGCTCAGCTTCCATACTTCAGTGAGAGAGATGAGCGAGGACCCTCCCATTAGGTGGGATTTGAAGTCTTCCTTCAGTCCTACCTGGACTGGCACATGGCTCGTCATACATGTGAGTGCAGGGAGAATGTGCCAATGTGTGGGCCTACAGCCTTCCACTCTGGCCCCTGTGTTCCTGCGCCGCCTGTGCAGCTGAGGCAGTCTGTGTTTTCCCTGTCCTGGCCCAGGCAGAAGGCCCCGTGTTCACTGTGGCCCCTGAGCCTGCGCACGGCCCCACCTGTGCCCACACAGCAACCCTGACCTTTCCAGGCCTGTGGGTTCTGGTGCCCGGGTCCCCCTTGGGCTGCTGCCGGGAGCCTGGCTGCCAGGTGTCCAAAGTTCTGCAGCCCATTGCCCTGCCCCCCTGTGCCTGCTCTTCCCTCGCCCATCACTGCCCAGGTGGTGGCAGTGGGACTCCCTGGGAGCTGCTGCTCTGGGACAGACACACGTGAAGGTGTTCCTTTTTGTTTTCTAGATTGTGCAGAATGGGCGTGTCATTGTCTCTACAGAGTGTGGCCACGTCTTCTGCAGCCAGTGCCTCCGAGATTCCCTCAAGAACGCGAACACTTGCCCGACCTGCAGGAAGAAGATGAGCCACAAACGCTATCACCCCATTTACATCTGATGCGCTGCGAGCTGCCTCGGAGAAGGACGGACAGTGACATCCCCGCGGGCTCATGCGGCCTTCGTGGGTTCTCTGCCTCCAATTTCCTGAGCTCAAAAGACTTTTAAACCAAGGCCTGATATGTAGACTGCTCCTTCTTTCCAGCCCTCTGAGGTCCTCTCGTTACCTCCAGCTTGATGCCTCAGCCAGAGCCACAGCCCTGCCGGCCGGGTGCGGCCTGCTCCCCTGGCAGCCTGGTTCCAGGGCAGGCGAGGAGCTGAGCGCCTTCGAGTTGAGAAGCAGGTTCCAGCCTCTCCGGGACTGCACGTTTGCCAAGAAGCTCCCCCGCGCAGGAGGTGTGCGCAGCTTCCCCCACAGTGTTGTTGGGGAGCCAGCCCTGGTCAGGGCGTGAGCCAGTCCACCCAGCTCCTGCGGGCATGCTACCTCACCCGGCCTCTGCCCGCACAGTGACCGAGCCGACAGCCCCGGAGGACCAACCACTGGGCTCCTTCCCGACCTTAGCAGTGACAGGCAGGGATTTCTGCAGGGCCATGCCCAGGCCTCTGAGGATGAAACGTGCAATAAAGCCCATCCACCGCCGCCTCCTCGCAGCCCAGGAGACGCAGCACCGTGAGTGTCCCTTAGGCCCCGCCCTGTTCTGTCACCCCGTTCTCAGGAACTGACCAGGCCCCAGAATTCCCCTCCTGGCGCGGGCCAGGCACAGTACACAGGGCAGGCCTGTACTCGGTGTCCACTCCTTTCTGATAAAATCCGTCCTCGTCACCATATGCCCGCTGGTCCTCAGTCCCCGCTGCCCACGGTCTCCTCAAGTATGGACACCGGAAGGCGGTGCAGTATTTGTGGCCTTATCAGCCCATGTCCAGCTGTTGCCCAAGCCGCAGCCACCCCGTGTCTCAGAGCGTGGCCCACCTGACGAGCTGGGTCCTGCCTTGGCCTTCTCACCACCCCACCAACCCACCATTTCAGAAGCTGGTCCTCTGGCCATCTGGACTGTGGCCCTCTGCAGTTCTGGTTGGCAAAGTTTGGTAGCCTCTCCTCACCAAGGGGCAGATAACACCCCCTGCCCACTCTGCAGGCGTAGGAGCCTCTGGTTTCCAGGTGGCAGCACTGCTCCTAATGCACAGGGCTGAGGGGTGACGGGAGTGCCAGCCTGCCCAACCTCCCCACAGGCCTCAAGCCAGACAGCAGCCTCTGCATGTGGAGCATCAGCCGGGGGCAAGGCCCTAGCTTTGCAGCAATAACTGGCCTTCAGTTCCCTGGAAGGAGCAGGGACTTGGCACAGTTCACTTTAACGGGGCTGAAGGAGTGTCCCTCTTCTGTGAAAGTTTTATTCTTCATTCTGCCTTTGTAGCTGTTTGGCTCACTTCCAATTAGTCAGTTTGAATGAAAGGAATAATGTTCTACTTGGAGGTGAGGAGGCAGGACATGGTTCCCACGGGGGCTGTGCCGTGTCTGCCCTCCGACTGGACGTGGTTGCCATCGCGTTTCTTCCGGGCTGCATGGGAGCGTCTCCTGTGACCTGACATTACAGCCTCCAGGAGCCGGGATGACCACGCAGCCCAAGCCCTGCTTTACATTTTAGGACAAACGATTGATCATGAAAGCTGTGCTTCTACATTAAATTGTGGGGGTGTTAAGTTTCTACTGTCAGAAACTACAAAATAGGAAAAGGTCGATATGAAAACCCCTCCTTCTCAGTGTACATAATCCAAATCTTTCTTTGTTACGTTTTAAACTTTACCCATAATGTCAGTCTGTTTCGGACCTCTGCTGGTGTTACAGATGGAAATAAAACCAGGAATTTGAACCAGGTAGCTTCTTGTGCATTCCTTTGCTCTTTGGGACCAATTCTCCTTTTGCCCAAGGTGTGTGATTTGCACCTGTGTGTGCGAGGAAGTTGCTTGTCTGGCTGCACAGTCCAACCCTGGACCCTAGTCGAGCCGACGCTTTAGCCCAGAAGTGGGGTCAGGCTCGCTGCAGTTTGGCCAGTGGGCATGCAGACACGCAACTTGCCCTCCATGTGGGTGTGATGTGCCGATTTGATTTTTTAAAAAATACTTGAGAACTGTTCACAGGTTTTTTTGTGTTTTTTTTTTAATATATGCCATTTATTTCTTTACAGAGAGGAAGGGAGAGGGATAGAAAGTTAGAAACATTGAGGAGAGAGAAACATCGACCAGCTGCCTCATGCACACCCCCCACTGGGGATGTGCCCGCAACCAAGGTACATGCCCTTGACTGGAATCGAACCTGGGACCCCTCAGTCCACAGGCCGACGCTCTATCCACTGAGCCAAACCGGCCAGGGCAAGAACTGTTCACAGTTTTTAAAATCAGTTCTGTTAAGTTACAGGTTTCAGAGGATTCATACATCTCGTCTCTTTACAAGTTTTTGGCATAAAAGGTTTCATAAAATATAGTTAATCTCTACAGCATCTTTTTATCACTAATGTTAATTTATGCCTTTTATTTTTAATCCTCACCCAAGGATATTTTTTCCATTGATTTTTGAGAAAGCGTGAAAGGGAAGAGGTGGGGGGGGGGGGGCGTGGCGGGGAGAGATTGACTGGTTGCCTCCTACACGCACCCCAACTGGGGGGCTGGGATGCAAACCTGCAACCGAAGTACATGCCCTTGACCAGCAATCAAACCTGCAACCCTTCTGTCCTGGGGCTGGCACTGAAACCACTGAGCAACTGACCAGGGCTTCTTTTATTTGTAACTAGAAGCCCGATGCATGAAAATTCACACACTGGAGGAGGGAGTCCCTCAGCCTGGCCTGCCCCCTCTCACAGTCTGGGAGCCCTCAGGGGCAGGAGGCAACCCGGTGATCAGGGGAAGGTGGTGCCTCATCACACCTCTGCTGCTGCCACTGCCGGCAGTGTAAGCCTCGGTGGCACTAGTTACCTGAGCCTTGGGCGGCCCTGGGCCGCTGCGGGGCTGAGGGAACTGGGGAGACTCAAGAGGCAGGCACGCAGAGTGGCTGGGCCCACCTGGGGGCAGGCCTGGCCTTGCAGTGTGCCTGCCGCCCTGGCAGGGCTAAGGGGACTGGGCGCCGCTATCTTTGAGGCATGACGGTCAGTTAGCATATTCCCTCCTTATTGGCTGTGGGCATCGCCATCTTTGAGGGCAGGGAAGTCAATTAGCATATTCCCTCTTTATTAGATAGGATGGTTGTTAGAAACGTCTCAGTTTCGTGTTCTGTCAAGTCCAGCATCCGAGTCTGGTCCAGTTCTGAAGTTTCCTCATCACTGAGGACTTCCTTACGCTCTGTGAGCTTTCCTCCCTCTGTACGCCTGTAACCTGGTAGACTGGAGAGTCCTTGAGGCCTGGGTTGAGGGTGGATTCCTCTGGAAAGTGTTGGTCTTTGCTTTTAGGAGGTGTTTAATGTTACCAACTCAGGGCCAATATATATATTTACCGTCTATACTGCGAAGTATAACACACACACAACTCATTGGATTATCTCAAAAGTGCATCTTAATGAAGTACCATGAAGCAAATGCCCAGCAGACAACCAACTGCAGCCAGAAACACCACTGCCAGCACCTGGAGCCCCTCTCCCTGGCCAGTACCCTCGACCTTCTCCCCCGAGTCACTGCTAATGTGAGTTTTACAGAAATTACTCCTTACAGTTTAATTGGAAGAACACACAGCCTGACTGTAGAATGTCATTCTGCCTCTGAACGTGAAGCAGGTGGATCACTTGTGTTTTCTGGAGGTGGGTGCCCTTGATTTCTTCATGTGCAGTTGTTCGTCTTCCTTCCTGTGTAGTATTCATTAATGAATACGCCTCTGTTTATGCTCTCGGTCATTATGTGTTTTGGCTAATAGCCAAAAGCGGACGTTGTGTCTGTCTCTTCTGGTGCAGTTTGCTCACATAGCTAGCTAGTGGGCATATATTTCAGTGTGAAATGACTGAGTCTTAGGGTGTAAGCATCTGGGAAAAGTCAAACAACCAGTGGATCAGAGAAGAAATCACAAAGGAAAGTAGAAAATACCTTGAGAAGAATGAAACGAGAATGCAATGTACCGAAGTGTATGGGATGCAGTGAGACCAGTGCCGGGGGTGTTACAGTTGTAAATGTCTACATCAAAGCAGATTAAGTCAGCTTTCCAATTGTGTGCCCAAGGAACCAGAAAAAGAGAGTAAACCAAACCCAGAGCCAGCAGAAGGAAGTAACACAGATTAAAGCAGGGATAAATGATACTGAGGATAAGAAACTATGGAAAATCAAGGACAACAGAAGTTGCTAAATTGACGAAGAATAGAAGACTCAAATTATTAAAACCAGTGAAAGAGCACATAATTAAACTTTGCAGAAATAAGGAAGGTTTAAAAAGACTACTATGAATACCTGTATGCCAACAAATTGGGTAATCTAGGTGAAATGGACAAATTCCTAGAAGCAAACTACAAAAGCTGACTCCAGGGCAAATAGAAAATGAGCAGACCTGCAATAAGTGATATTTAAACGACTAAAAACCCCAAGCAATGAGAGCCAACGACCAGGTGGCTTCACTGGGAAACCTTACCAAACGTAGAAAAGAAGGAACACTACTCTTTCCCACATTCTTCCAAAAATGTCGAGATGACAGGAGAACACTTCCTAACTCATTCTGTGAGGTCAGTGTTATCTTGATACTGAAGCCACACACAACTCCAGGGAGAGAAAAGTGCAGAGTCATGTCTTGTGAACACTGAGGCAGAAACCCTCAGCACACTGCTAGCCCCGAATTCAGCAGCAGTAAGAGGGTTACACACCGGGACCACAAGGGCTTTCTCCCAGAGATGCAGGAAGGGCCCAGCCTCTGAAAGCCCACCCAGCACGCTGCCTGAGTAGTGTGTGGAGGGGAAACATGACCATCACAGCTGATGCAAAAAGAGCATTTGATAAAATCAAATTTTCATGATAAAAACAGACCAAGGATCAAAGGAAAGTACCTCAACATAATAAAGGCCATTTATGTAAAGCCTGTAGCTAATGTGCTCGAAGGTGAAAGAATGCAAGCTTTTTCCCCGAAGGTCAGGAACAAGACCCAGAGGCTCACCTTTATCATTTCTATTCATAATAGCACTGCAGTCTCTAACCCAGGGCGGGAGGACCGGAACAAAAGCATGGATGGAGTGTTTATGTGAACTAATATAAATTCAAAGTAAACATCATTACATAAAAGGGTACGGTCTTTTTTTTTTTTTTAGTTTTATTCATTTCAAACTGCCGGATCTGGCCCGCAGTCCTTAGTTTGCCCACGGCTGCTCTAACCAGAGCAATGAGGCAGAAGTAAGAGGCATCCAGATTGTGAAGGAAAAAAGAAAAGCATCTGTTTGTAGAAGACATGGTTTTATATGTAAAACTCTGAAGAACCCACAGTACACACATACAGCTGTTAGAGCCTGCAAAGGAGTTCAGCACAGTTGCAGGATACAAACTTACAAATCAAGTGTATTTTTATACACTATCAATAATATGAGAAAGCCCGGCTGATGTGGCTCAGTGGTTGAACCAGGAGGTCACAGTTCAATTCCCGGTTGGGGCACATGCCTGGGTTGCAGGCTCAATCCCCAGTGTGCAAGAGGCAGCCGATCAGTGGTTCTTTCTCATGGTTGATGTTTCTACCTCTCCCTCTCCCTCCCTCTCCCTCTCCCTCTCTGAAATCAACAAAGAATAAAAACTGTGGTGGTAGCCTGAGGATGAACAGACAGGCCTCCACCCCAATGGAATGGGAGTGAGAGCCCAGGAATAAACCCTCACCTCCATGGTCACATGATTTCCACAAGGGCTTTAAGACCACCCAATGGGGAAAGAAAGTTCTCTCCAACAAATGGTGCTTGGAAAACTGGATATGCACATGTATGAGAATGAAGTTGGGCCCGGCCAGCATAGCTCAGTGGTTGAGCGTTGACCTATGAACCAGGAAGTCACGGTTGGATTCCCAGTCAGGGCACATGCCAGCATTGTGGGATTGATCCCCAGTGGGGGGTGTGCAGAAGGCAGCTGATCAATGATTCTCATCATTGATGTTTCTCTCCCTCTCCCTTTCAATTCAATAAAGATATATTTTAAAAAGTGAAGTTGGGTCTTTAAGCCATAGGCAAAATGGATCAAAAACCTAGATTTAAGAGTCAAAACTAGATTTCTTAGGAGAAAACAGGCAAATATTCCTGACCTTGGATATACCAATGTTTTTTTTTTTAAATCTTTATTATTGGAAGTATTGCATATGTACTCCTTTTCCCCCCAGTGACCCCCTCCAGCCAGCCTCCCCGCCCCAGGCCTTCACCACCCTATTGTCTGTCCATGGGTTACATATATGCATACAAGGTCTTGGTTGATCACCTCCCACCCACCCACCCTCCCCTTGCCTTCCCTCCGCGATTCCACACACTGTTCCCAATGGTTTCTTAAATATGACACCAAAAACAAGGCAACAAAAGGAAAAATAAGTTCTACTTCATTAAAATGAAAAACTTAGGCATCAAAGCACTATCAAGACAGTGAAAAGAGAACCAACCCATAGAATAGGGGAAAATATTTGCAAGCCAGCTATCTGATAAGGGACTAATAACCACAATATATATAGTGCTTTGAAAGTTCAAGACCAACAAAACAAATCAGACAAAATTTAAAAAGTGGCAAAAGACTGAAATAGATAATTCTCCCAAGAAGATATACAAATGGCCAATAGGCACATGAAAGTAACTCAGCATCGTCAATTATGAGTGAAATATAAACCGGAACCACAAAGAGATACCACTTCACACACATTAGGAAGGCTATCATCAAAAAGGAAATAAGCAAAAAAGACATTCT